GACCATCCGTGAGCTACCCGAGAGCTACTCGAAAGCCATCTGAGAATCCGTGAACCGTCCGTGAGCCACCTGTGGGCCATCCGAGAGCCACCTGAGAGCCATCTGTGAGCCACACCAGCGCCCGCCCCGTGTCCTGAGGCAGCTTCGCAGGTCTGTAAAAGGGTTGAAGGCTTTATCCCTGCCGCGGCAGAACACTAGCCAGCAGCTCTGCCTTTTTCTTGTCAGTGGTGTCATAAAGCCACTGGCCTGTCTCAATTGTTTCCAGATCTCAAATCAGTGAGACATGATGCAGGCAGGGAACGTGGGTGGAGGAGAAAGGGAAGGTGGTAAGAAACCTTTAGGAAGAGATAAATTGCAGTTAAGTGTATGTGACGTGTCAACTGATGATTTCAAAAAAACCTGGCTAACACTAAAAGAGGTCCATGACAAAGAGCTACACCGTTTACAGGCAAAATTGACCAGTTTGAGGAAAGAGCGATTGGCAGAGGGAAGGAGGATGGGCTCCACAGCCAAAGTTAAAGAGTTGACTGAGCAACAAAAAGTCCTCAGGGACACCATTAATGAGTTGCGGGATAAGTTACGCTCAAAAATATGTAGCCAGTGTTCTGTGAATGAAACATACAGAAATACATTACAGAAAGAATTTTATGATATACAACAACAAAATCTTAAGTTTATTGCTGAGCTCACTGCAGAAAGAAATAAATTAAGAGAAGAAAATAAAATGCTTTCTGCAAAACTAAAATTGAAACAGCAACAGTTCCATCCTTTTTCTGATAGTGATGATGACTTCATTCCTTGTACTCAAAAGACTATGCCAGTTTTTACAGTCAAAGACCCTGTGCTAGGAAATCAGGTGTATCTGTCTAGGAAATTGATAAGGCAATCACATACTGAACAGATGAAATCTGGAGAAGAAAAGGAACAGTCACAAAGTCCAAAGTTTCCAGTTTCATTTTATAGTCAGGAACTCTTTGACGTGCCAGAAACCTCTTTTGAGAAGATTTCCTCTAACAACAGTAAACCTATCGTAGGAAGCATTTCCAACTTGAAGTCACCTGCAAGTTTTCCCTTAATACCTACACAGAGTCCTCCAAGGGGGCATCAGTTTCAAGTTGCCTCAACCCTTTCAGAAGACAACCATGGCCAGCCAGAAAGGAAGGAGACCTTCACACAGAAGACCTCCACACAGAATACTTACTCACTAAAGTATGGAACTCAGAGAGACCTCTCTTGGAGCCTTTCCAGTATCTCTACAGGAGAAAACCCAGCAGTTAAAGTAGTATCTGAAACTTCAGAGGAAAATATGCCTGATTATAATAAAAGCCCATTTTTCTCTTTTACACAGAGAAAGGAAACACACTCTTTAAATGTATTTCCTTTAGACTATACTTTAAGTGGCAAAAGAAGATCAACTGGTATTCCTCATTACAGCATTGGGTTTTCGGCAAGAGGAGGCAGTAACCAGGTATCTTCCAATGAACAATCGACTTTGAAAAAGAATACTAATGAATCTACAGATGCAGCAGGGTATGGTGCTAATAAGCCTCAAGGTGACACCCAGAGTTCTACTGTGAGGTGTACAATAAAGAGAAAAGCCAGGATGCAGTCAGAAAAAAGGAGGAGGTAGTTTTCCTTCATCCTCTCAAGGAAACTGCTTTTCTTTCACAAGAGGACAGTCTTCCTGTCAATTCACACTATGTAACTAATAGCTCCTGACTCTGATTCCATTTCACAGGACATAATAAACAAGGTGATAAGACCTAAAAAAAAAAAAAAGCTTGGCAAATGTCTAAGACTTTGAAACAATTAATTATTGCCTGTTAATAAAATACAGCTATAGAGAAGGAAATTCTTCAGAATCCTTTACTTCCACATAAAAATGTCAAGGTTGACCATCTTTTTGTTGAAATTAAATTGGTACTGTTTATGAAACAATTTTTTAAAAGGCAAGAGAAGACCTGAAGAAGGGATGGACTTGTAAGAGTTCAACATTTAAATGCATATAGTGACTAAAATATCTACTGGATAAGACAACTAGAATACTTCCATTGACAAGGATCCACAAGCTGACAATTCTTGGAATAAAATGAATAAGACTACAGATAACATACGGCATGACTTCATATATACAGAAGATAAAAAGATGTGACACAGACTATACTAGTTATTTAAAATGTGCTTTTAAAAATTGAAAAGCAGAAGAAAGAAAAACCTAATTAACAAAGATCAAATATTTAACAAGCAAAGTCGACATTTACAAGAGAAGAAGGAACTATGAAGTTCTCAAGAAACAAAGCAGTTATGGTTTTACCCATGGCAAAAAAGCAGCCAGAGGCATGTCACTGGTTATCACAATATATGGGGTGTGTGTGTAGTGTGGGTGCGGTGTGTGTGTAGTGTGGGTGCGGTGGGTGCGGTGGGTGCGGTGGGTGCGCAGGCGGAGCACGGAGGATTTTTAGGGCAGTGAAAATACACCATGATTTTATGATAATAAATATATGCCCATTTAAACAGCACACAGTACAACAGTTTATAGTATATTCAAAGAGTTGTAAAACCATCACCACAGTTTCATAATATCTTTATCACCCTATGAAGAAACCCCATACACATTAGCAGTCACTTTCTACATTCCCCAACTTTTCACCTTGTGAGAAGACAGCTGTGGCTGTAGTTGTTAACTGACCCATTATCTCCCCTTCTTCCTTTCTTTTCTCCCTCACCCCTATCTTACTATCCTTGAGCTGTGGTGGTATTTAACTTTTTTTTTTTCCAGTTTTTTTTCCCCATGTGTCTGTTGGGTCTTTTTTGTTTTAAACAAATTTATTGAGAAAACTCATGGACCATAAAACTTACCCATTTAAACAGCACACAGTACAACAGTTTATAGTATATTCAAAGAGTTGTAAAACCATCACCACAGTTTCATAATATCTTTATCACCCTATGAAGAAACCCCATACACATTAGCAGTCACTTTCTACATTCCCCAACTTTTCACCTTGTGAGAAGACAGCTGTGGCTGTAGTTGTTAACTGACCCATTATCTCACGGAACAAAATATCGCCAGGTTGAAAATGATCTCTCTTTACTCATTTCTTTCCCAAAACATAGAGGTCCATCACAAAGTCTCAATATACTCTTTGACTTTTATTCTAAATCATACATTCTTAGAACTTAGATTCAAGTTATTTTGTTTACTGTTTATTAATGTACTTTAGAATTTATTCATATCTAGTTATTGGCTTGTTTTAATATATCTAGCTATCAACTTACTTTGTTTTTATAGTCTGCATTATTACAAAAAAGATTTAAAGCAAGTAATATTTACTAAAAATAGAAAATAAGTAAAAGGTAACGACTATGATAACCAGAACCCAGGTACTTTTATGTTCTTCATTCCTGCATATATATATATTTTTTTTTAGCAAAAATAATCAGAAAAGGAAGGGAGGAAATTGTGTAAATGTGGTATTTGAGAATAAGATAATCTCTGAATTTATTTCCAGAGGACATGTAGCTTATGAAAATCCTTTGGTTATATTCTATCATTTAATATAAAGAACTGGTAACACTAGTAAATAATATAATTATATACCAAGGGCAAAAAAAACCAGAGCCTGAAAAAGAACCTGACACCATATAAAACCATATACTGGTACTGCAAAAATAACGATGCACTTCCTTACCCTCAAAGAACCCTTCCTGTCTTTTTGTTTGCTTCTGTTTTACCAAATCCTGGGCTAAATAAAAGTTAAAGTATTAAATTTTGACTTCTGGTTATTGTTATTTCTTTCTGTTTCTGTTGGTCGTATTTAATACATTATACGGTCTGCGTGGAAAAATGTAGCACTTCTAAAACTATTGCCTCATCTTAGAAATTTATTTTTAAATTAAAAAAAAAATATTTCAAAGAGTCAAACCTATATGACTGAAATGAACCTGTTTTAAGTTTAAATACAGGAGCATTCTTAAGGTCAGATTCTTTAAAGATTTGTTTTTAATGTGTTCTATATACCGATGATGGTGAAATATTCGTTGCATGAACCTGTGAGCTTGTGAGGGTGGATATCTCGTAGAGTACAGGCTTAATATGCTGGTAACTCACCTTCAGAAATCATTTTTACTATATACAGGTAACACATCAGGAGGCTTCTGATTTCATACTGATCTAATCGGTTATACTGGGATACACTGCTCCTTGTAGAACTCTGTCGGGTCTATAATATAAAGACAGGACTTTTATGAACAACATTGGTACTACAGTTTCCCATAGCTTTCATAACTTTTTTTTTTTTATCATTAGTCCTGTTTGAGAAAATTCTAAGCATAAATTCAAATTTTATATCACACTTGGAAGATAAATGGGTTGACTCTTTGTTGCTACCTCACCAACTGATATCACTAGAAATTACCTTGGGGTCTTCATCAAGATACAGCCATAAATACTGTGTATGTTTCATTCCCATGGGTCTTGTGTTTTTGTAGTAAAAATTTTAAATAATCATATGTGGCTATTCTAGGAAAATTTTACTTCAAGGAGGAACTTAACTAAGATACATGGAAGCATATGAAACATTTTAAGCTTTTTAATTCGAATCTCTCCTTGGAGTTTATTAAAATCTAAACTCCAAATAATAGGTCAGAAAAATCTATATAAAAAAGGGCTAATGATATTACAAGATAGGTATACTAAGGAGGGGACCTAGTAATACTTCAAAACTAGAGCTTCTACAAAGTAGTGATGCTCCTATTTAATTACTTTTAAGTATCGGTTGTTAAGCATGACAAGATCTGACCTATTTGGGGATTTATATGATTAGAGGAATAATCTTAGGATTTACACTTGTTAAAAACCAATACTTTTAGTTGAGCTAAACTGGGCTGTGGATATCTGTTTACTAAAGTAGGCTTTACTAAGAAAAAAATTCCGCTTAGAGCAAAACATCTATGTTCTGAATGCTTGCTAGCTGCGTTACTACTAGCAAGTCATTTAACCTCTTTATCCTTTTTTTGCCTCACCTATGACAGTGTCTGTTGTCATAATTCTAAATGGTGTGAAATAGAAACCTTTGCGAATAAATTATTATTTATCCAAAGGCTCAAGGAAGTATAAGGGATGGTTCCCAACCAGTGGCATCAGCATTACCTGGGAACTTAGAAATATAAATTAGCAGGCACCATCCCCTAACTGAATCTGAAACTCGGGGGCTGAGGTGCAGTCATCTATTTTTATTAAGCCTCCCAATTGACTCTGACACACACTAAGAGTGCCATGATATAGGAGGAAAAGCATGGGAATTAGGAAGTCTGGGTCCAGATCTGGCCCTGCCAGAGCTGTGTGATTGTCCTAAGTCACAATCTCAGTTTTCATTTGTATATTGCGATTTGAAATTATTTTTATGGACTCTTTTAATTTTATATGAGTCTATGATTTTACATAGCATGACAAGACTTTATTGGCCTAAAATGAGGTTTCTCTGACTCGAGGTAGGCATAGCAAATAAACTTTAATGTTAGGCTTGAAAAAATGAGATGGAAGTGTTGGAGAATATATTCTGATGAAGTGATGCTGGGGTGCTGAGATCCTCAATTTTAGGACCTAATTTTTTTCCTCCCAAGCTACTGTCATTACTCTATTAGAAAAGAATGAAAGGCTGAATGAATCCTGCAAGGAAGTGATTTAAGTGACAAGATACATTAGTATTTTAAACTTAAACTTTCCCTCTCTAGAACAGAATACAGTATAGTGTGTTAGGGTTAAAAGCAGCATTCTGAGTTAGAACTCTTAAAGATGAATGTCTTAGCCCCTATAAACAGTTTAAGATATCCAAACAGCAGCTGCCAGGATAGAAAGCAACTGCTAAAATATCCAAAAATTATAAATCCAGGCTGGACTATAGGAGAATAGAGAAACTCTTATTTATATGAAAAGAAAGAGCATTGTAGCCTAACACATCACTAGAGTTAGCTTCTATACTTAGGTTCTTACATTTTCAGCAGTGCTGCCCTGATCTAGAAATCCTGTTGCTCCTTCTGGGATGAGGGAACCTCTTGAGTCTTCTCTCTTAATTCCATGTCCATTTTGAAAAGATCCATAAGCTGGGAAAAAAAAAAAGCCAAGCCCTCATTAGCAACAGGATGAACTGTCAAAAGTATTTTTTAAAATAAGTACTGGGTTAATTTCAGTGAAGATATATTTTAGAGATTAGATCTTGGTCATCTAAAATTGTGAAGTATATCAAAACACATATGAAGCCAAATAAAGAGTAAGCAATTTTTTTTACTTCTTAAAACATTTTATTATATATGAAAGAAGAAATTCCTTGAAAGTCATCAAATAAAGCAACACAATTTGAAAGAGAATTGTACAGATAAGGAAATGGGCCAGAAAAAGGAGGTATCTTGTCCAAGACTGGAGACAGATAAGAGGATTGGAAGCCAGTGTTTTTCTCATTATCCTCTACTTTCTCAGTGTACCAAGCTGCATTTTTAAAAGCTTAGACAAGGAAACCTATGCAAAGAAATGTGGCTGCAAGTTTGAGTTAGATTTTAATTAAACTTTAATAGACATCATCCTATGTATAGTATTTATTATTATAATATTTCAAAAAATACAGAGGATCGGTGCATTTCCAAACAGCCATGCAACATATAAACTTTAAATGACTTAATTACCGGTGTCTTTGTCAGTGCTCAGACTCCCTCTAATTGTAGGTGAAGTGAAGCCACATGCAAATTCATCCCTGGATGCCTGTAACACAACGTGATACCTCTGTCATTTAAACTAATTTGTACACCAAGGTAAGAATTAACAGAATAAGATGATACCCTGATTTTAAACAAAGCTCACTGTGAAAGTCTAAATCAGGTATCAGTATTAGTATTTAAGTGACAAATATTTAAAAATTGGGTACTAGCATACTGTTGTAACCATGACTTCTGGCTAAGAGACATAAATCCAGATGGCTGTTAAAAGCTATAACTGGTGCAGCCTGGTTCAGTTCTCCTGCTTGGAACCAAGGACAATGCCAGAAGGAGGGGTTTGACCAGAAGCCCTAGGTAAACTTGAGCTGCAAAGAAAGAACAAGTTTTTTCCAAATATCACTGGCAAATGTTGTGGAGTAAGCATAAGCATGAGCTACTGTGTTTGTGATAAAAGACCAGCCTGACACCCAAAATAGGCGATATAATTAGGAACTACAGGCAATCAAGCCATCAGGGAGACTTAAAAGCCACTTTCTCAGGAGTCTGCATCAGGCTTGACAAATCAAGATGGAGGATTTCCAAAGGAAGCTGTAAAGGACACAGTTTAACCTGCTATCAAACAATGTGACATGGCTGCTGAAAGTGTGAAGGTGATCTTGGGCCATACGGAACATGGAGTGGGGATGGGGCAGGAGTTTCAAATCCCACTGGGCAGACTATAAAGTGTACAATTCTGAGCACCACATTTTAATAAGGTGATTGGTAAAACGGAGCATATCTAGAAGAGTAAAACCAAGAATGTAAAGGGTTTGGAACAACAAATGATGAAATGGACATAGCTGGTCTGGAGAAAAATTTAGAAGACACATATGTAAAGGGTATCATGTGGAGGTGGGAATAGACTTCTATATACTACCTCTAGAAGGCAAAATTAGAACAGAAAAACTTTTAGGTCTAATGTGAGAAGTTTTGATTATTATGATTAATACAGTGGCAAAAGATTGTTTTGCCAAATGGAGACTGATCACCTCTCAAGTTCCCTTCAACGCTAAGATTCTAAGGGGAGAAAAAGGCACAAATCAATTGTGATGAGCTAAAAGTGACTCATCAAGAAGTGCTGGAAGGAGGCTGACAAGGGAGGGGAGAAGCAAAGGAATAGTTTAATCCTTGGTGCCTAACATTTTGGAGATGAAGACTCTTTTGCTCAGTTTGCAAGCTGAATAATATATGAAGGCATAGAACTACAACAAATCTTAAAACTCTGAGTACAAGGGATTCTTGGTGTTCTCTTAGACCTTATTACTCAAAGTATGGTCCTTAGAGCAGAAGCAGCCAAAAGCTTGTTAGAAACCCATAACATCAAGCTTTACCCAGGCCTGCTGAATTAGAATCTTTATTTTAAAAAATTCCCCAGGGATTCACATTAAAATTTGAGAAGCACTGCTTTAGGGAGAAGTGTAAATGTAAAAGAGAGTAAAAAGTGGACCATTAAGATTGAAGCCATACAGTATATGATCCCAATTCCAAATACAGTCAATAAAACAAGATAAAACGCCAATAAAAAACACATTACTACTTACAGAATGAGGCATGGCTGCACAAGAATACAAGGTATCTCGACCTGCTAATCGCTGTATATTTTCCAAAAGCAGTCCAATGAATGGGAGATACAATTGTGCTATTTTGGCTTGCTGGTTCTGAAAATATTTATCGAAAGCTTAATAGGTATAAAATATGTATATATTACAAATCAAGTTGGCTCCTTTAGTAAAAGACTAAAAGGGGGCTAATATCCATAATTAGTGAAGCATGAATTTATTTACAGTCTCAAAACTAGTTTAATACTTATAGTCTCAAAACTAATCACGAAAAAAATTTGTTGGTATTTGAATTTATACACAATACAGAGTCAAATCACCTCTCTCGAACATATTACATAAAGTAAAAGGCAAAAGTTTATTTTTTTAAAATAGCAATTGACCTATAAAGCAGATCATATCAGTCCTGTTCTTTAACTTCAGTGAAGGTTGAGTTTCATGAGACAGGGATTATATCTGTCTTATTCACTGCTTCATCTCCAGTGCCTGGGGCACATAGCAGATGGTCGATACACATTAGCTGAGTGAATGAATGAATTAAGGAATGAATGGAAGAAGTGAAGAAACAAATTATTATATTCATGCAAGAAACTTTTGCTTTGATAAAGCTTCAATTAAAATAATATGATCTTGGCCCTCTAAATCAATTATAAGGCCTGGGAGATTGATAAATTTGTAAATATGTGAATAAAGCCAGCCACTAGTAGTCTTAACTAATGTTATACCTCTTATACGAATTTATTTATTGCTTTTAAGTCAATATCGACATTCATCACAAAGAATGGCACATGATAGGGTAAACTATACTAAGTGGGAAGATGTTATTATAGTTATAATGTGACAAAAATGATGCAAACTGCAGTAAGTAATAAACAACATCCTAAAGCTAAGGACTTTAAATCTACCTTAAAATAGAATCACATGAAGAAAACTAGTAAAATTCGTAAGTAAAAAAAATTGTAATTAAAGAAATATAACTAGATGTAGCTGGTAGGCATTTTCTGTTTATTAAGGACAAATGGGAATTCTGTAGAAAAAGAATAAGATCCACTTTTCCAAGTCAGCTTTCCAAGTGATTAGAATAAATGACATCATAATTTTATTTATATTTGAATGTAAAAACAAAGGGACAAATTATTATGAAACAATGTTATCTTGAGCCATTTGCTAGCAAGTTAAGTTATTCTAAATCCATTCTTTTTCAAGCCCATAGGATTTAATGTTAATAAGATTTGAATATATATGTTAAGGCACCCGAATAGCAACTATAACTGTGGTCTTCACACACAGACCATATGTAATGTATGTAAGGTTTACAGCCACACATACATTTTTTCAGTAAGAAGAAAAATGTCATATTACATATTTTATATCTGATATACTTAACATGTCCTTTTATTAATCACTTAATAATCAATAATATTTATTTAGGGATATATGTGAAAGGATATATATTAAGGTATATATTTGAGAGAGTACACATGGCTACAGCTATACATTTTTTTTTTTAAAAATCATAATCCATTTATGTAACAAATCGTGAAGCAGTTATGTTGTTCTTTAAACATGATTTGAGAAACCAGTGTTTTTCAACAATTAACTGAACGGCATTTTTTAAATCTAATTATTTGAAATAGAAACCAATTATTTGCAAAAATTAGTTCTCAATGCTCATATTATGTTCCTTACTGAAAACTCCATCTTTAATGAAAAATCTTAGCAGAAATTTATTAATGTGATATTGATGATTATATTGACATCCTTACCTTGTGCTGGTATCTAGTGTCAAATGCATGTTTTATCAAAAGATTCTTTATGACAGAGATAGCTGTATATCTGATCTCATAATTGTCTTGAAGAGCAATGGAGGTTTCCCTCAGAAGTAGACCAACCAAGAAGTGATGTTTGCAATACTCATCTGATAAACTGTATTCAAGATTTGAATCTGCAGTATAATGAAATTTAAAACCCATTTATAAAAATATTCAAAAATTACTTTGTTAAAATACCATATTTATTACTTAGTAATATGTAATCATGCCAGCAAGAGCTATAATTTTATTATTAAAGAATCTGAACAATTCTTTTATCATATAGAATGAGCATGCAAAATTTTATAAGACAGGAACACTCATAATTATGGCTAATTAGCTTTAATGATAATTTCAGTGGGTAAGATAAGTCCCTAGATTCTTTTTTTTCCCGTAGATTCTTTTTAACTCTTGGAACTCTTAGGATAGAACTTAGAATGAAAGACTACTATATTTGGCAATGTCTTAACAGTTCTTTATTATCTTTATTATTCACTGGCTGTAATTCAATCACTAAAACCACTGCTCAGCAGCTATTCCCCTAGATACCAGGGCAGCTGATTTTCTTCCTGCCATTGGTCATGCTTGTTTGTGAATCCCAGTCATTTTCTATGCACAAAGGTCAGTACTAACTCAAGTGGCCTTAACTGGAGACATTTTGCAATGTAAGTTTTTCACTTTAGTGATTTAAATAAATCCAAGCAGATGGTTTCACCCACACCTTCAAAACTGTGGCCAAGCAGTTATGATAGAGGGTCAGAGAGAAGCAAGCAAGTGTGGGAGATGGTACATGCTTAAAGAACAGCTACTCTCCAGCCCAATGCTGGCTTGAGCTGAAACTTATTTTCTGAAGACAGTGTTTTAAGGTTGATTCCTCTAGCAATCAACGCTCAAGTTTTTTGTTTTTTTTTTTTTTTAGAGCAAACAAATACAATGCCGCCTACATTTTCTGGGCACCTTAACTAAAGCCTCATTTTGGCTAGGGAGGATTTGGAAAGCAAACAAAGTCCCCGTCCATCTTAACCATTCATCAAGTCAATTGTTTTTAAAAACAGCGAACTACTTTAGAGTGAACCGAGTTAAACCTACCTACTGAAGTCAAATGGTCCACCGCAAATGAAAAAACAAATACAATGCCGCCTACATTTTCTGGGCACCTTAACTAAAGCCTCATTTTGGCTAGGGAGGATTTGGAAAGCAAACAAAGTCCCCGTCCATCTTAACCATTCATCAAGTCAATTGTTTTTAAAAACAGCGAACTACTTTAGAGTGAACCGAGTTAAACCTACCTACTGAAGTCAAATGGTCCACCGCAAATGAAAAAAAATCTAATTAATATATGAAAAGAAAAGGGACAAATAAAAAACATAGTAACATAAGAATAGTGCTACACAACAAAGCATTCAATAAAACTAGCAATGGAGATAACTGAAGGCATTTCACAAATTTAATACATATATATGACTATTTTACTCAGCTTTTATACTTTTGATGCTCCTTTCAACAGAAATGTATTTATGTTTTTTTTTAATAATTCAGTCTCATATAAGAGTCCAAACACTTCTACAGAGAGCAATTTTACTAGTATTCAGCATCTGTGTTTAAGCAGCAATCTATGTAACACACCCTATTTCTTCATACTATGAATACTATCACTGATACTATGAAGAAAATGCAGAATACCATTAATGAACCTATCTTCAGGTAATAAGAATCCTGAGGTTACTCTTAAATTGACTTGTGTAACTAGAAAACATTATACTACACTAGCAAAAAATAATAATAAAGAAAGAAAGAAAGAAAGAAAGAAAGAAAGAAAGAAAAATAATTCCAAATGATGGATAACATAAATATATACCTTGAACTCGCTGAAGTTTAGGTTTTGCAAAAGTCATTGGCAAATTCAGAGGAATGTAATGTTCATGATTGCAAATTGTTTGCAGAAATTCAAACTTATATTCAGCTAGAATCTAAAAGGAAAGAGCTGACATTTAGTAGGCATTTATCATTTTAATAATTAAATAGAGCATTAATTTTCAAACTAGAAGTTATTTAGTATTTTAAGCATACCTAGAGATGTGACCTGTGCAGGAAAGAGTTAACATAGGAGGCCCAAGACTGTTCTTAAAAAGGCTGGCTTGCAAGGTTAGTCATTGGCTGGCATTTGAGAAATTGGATTTTGAAATGTTCCCTACATGATAAGGGTGTACCTTCTGTGCCAGCCTGCTCAGACTATTTGTACAAACAATATGACTCATGGTGAATACCTGCTTCCCTTTCTTTTCCAAGACACCGGAATTTTGGTCAGCCTCCAAACAATGACCAGCCTCCAATAACAATCCTAAAACAAACCCCAAGTCTCTGAATAGAAATATTGAGCTTCTCAGAACAGAAATATTGCACATGTGTGACTGCATTTGCACTATTGAAAAGGTGTATTCCGCGTGACCCTTCGCAGGAGGGAGGGCGCTCAGGAAGCCTGCACATGGATTGCTAAGGACTCCACTTGCTGTCTTTTCCCCTTACTGATCCACCTGAGCATACTTGCTGTGTCACTGTATGGATCTTAGCTGTGAGTACAATTAAATGTTGAGTCCTGTGAGTCTTTCTAGTGAACTACTGAACATGTGGATGGTCTTGGGAGACCCCCCCAAAACACTATGCTGTATTCCTTTCTTGAGTACAGCTATACTCAAAGTACCTAAATGAAAACAGCAGTTCCAAATCCTCCAGGGGACAATAAATATCACCCTTGATCTCCCACTTTAGTGTCTGACATCCACTACAGTTATGTCCTTATACTTTACCTTAGGATCTTTGGGGCTGAATCCAGATACATAGTCATTTATCAAATTGAAAACAAATCCTCTATCCATTAGTGTCAAACAGCGCTATAGAAACCAAATCAAAATGAACAGTTAGGTGCATAATTCTAAAAGTCTTACAAGTATAAGTTTGAAAAATTTTTAAATTTGTTCCACATCTAGTGGATGACATTCTCTCTTTTACAGGTAACAAAATAATAGCTCCCGGAGCTTTAGGCAACTTTAAAGAAAGAGATAAAGGGCAAATGACTTATATTTGGATTTGGGACTCAACTATACAATTTTAAAAATAAAATTACATATATATGCACAAATACATACATCTATACATACATATATCCATACATAAACATATATACACACATATATATACACACACATATGTAATCTATTCAGCTACACTGCCTCATTTTGGTCAACTCTCAAAACTCAAAGTGAGGTGTTGAAAAGTGGGGCTTGCCTATGTAAACATTTCAAACCAAAAGGTAAGTTTTTCTTTGTGTCCAGTGAAGGCTTGGCTATTAATAACGTTCTTCTCCTGTAATAGCTTTCCTAGTTGTTCATATTTGCCTGCTGTCATTCTCCTAGTTAATGCTCTCATTACCTTGCAAGTGAACAACTGCAGTTAGTCTCCTAACCAGTCTTCGTGTCTCTAATCTTTCCATCTATCTAACTGCTTCCAAATTAATATCTAAGTTCTAGCCCTAATCTTGTCACTTTCTTTCCCAAAGCTTTCGATAGTTCCCTATTGCCTCTAATATAATTTCAAACTCCTTAGCTTGACATTCAAGTACACTCACAATCTTATCCCAATCTGCTTTTCCAGTTTTATCTCCCAATGCAGCTCATCTACATATTATCCCTTCAAGATGTACTGTGTAGTCCCACCTCTGAGTCTTTCTTTGCTCATGCCAGACCTAGCTAGCAATTTTATCACTACTTCTACCTAATCCTGCCCATTCTTCAATGTTCTGAAGAAATTCCATCTTCTTTAACCACCGTGGACCACAGGTCCTTTAAAATACTTTATTCTATACTAGCTTGTACTATACTTATTATTTTCCTGTGTTTTCACTTAGGTAAGAAAATAGGAAGTATCTCTTTTTATGTTCCTCATAGTACCTAGAATATTCCTGTGAAATAGAAGGAACTCAATATTTGATTAACCACCTATTTGCATCTCACTTCTCACTCCTCCTTTCAATTTCCACTGTCACTATCACTACCCTAGGTCAGACCCTCATCACCTTTCACCCAGATTGATGAGGTAGGCTTATATTTTTTCATTCACCAACATCTTGAGGATCTACTATATTTGAAACAATGTATTATATTCTAGGTAAATACAAAGGTGAATAAAATATGTTCTTTACTCTTGTCCAATGGTAAAAACAAATAATTAAAATATAGCACAATAAGAAGTCCCATAGAAGTATGTAAAGTACAGGTAAACAACAGGAGGGGTGATCAACATTGCATGGGAAGGTTAGGGAAGAGCTAAGCCTAAAATGTGAATGGACTCTGCCAGGCAGGTAAGGGGGAGGGAGTGATCTAATTGGTTGCCCTGATTCTGGTCTTTTCCTCACTTCTCCATCATATCAGCAATAAAATTATCCTAAAAAATCTTTGGTAGTTCTCCATTGCATATGGATCAAAATCTAAATTCCTTAGCTTGACATTCCAAGCATTCCATCATCTGGCACCAGGTGGCCTTTCCAGCTCTACCTCCATACATCCTAAACTCTCTGTACAATGACCTTCTTACTCATTCATCCCTAAACAATTCCTGAATGTGCTTATCTCATCTTTGCTCATGGATCCTCTATCTGCAGCACCCTTATCTCTTGTCTTGGGGAATTATTCTTCTAGTCTCTGTTTATACTCCCTGGTTATAATCCCTCCCTTTCTTGTTCTCCTATTGTATTTTGACCGTACTTTCAGTGTAACAGTCGTCATACTTTATCATGTGTATACATTTTAATGTGATTACAGAGACAGCCTCTTGCATTTTTGAACCCTCACATAGAAGATGGAGAAATGTTTGTTGACTTAAGTAAATACTGCATTGACTTGACTATATTCTATTCCCTTTACATAGTACACTTCAAGTTTAAACTCCATGGAAGAGATATTTTGCATTTCAGACAGTCTCATCTTTAGTCTACTTTAAAAAGATATGTGAATATTAGGTGTTTAATACACAAAAATGCTTATGCAATAGTGTTAAAACTTTATTTTGATTATGGCAAAGAGAGGTCTTATATCAGAAAATCATGCTCTGCAAATCTGAAATCTGGCTGTGAATTTTTAATAAGAAAACGAAGGTATGTTAGACATTAAAACTGCTTGAATGGATTATTTACCATCAGGTCCTTAATGTAAGGTTGATACATAATGAAGAGGGGGAGTAAAAAGAAGGAAATAAAAACTAAGTACATTACAAACCTATGCCCCTTCTCTGTAACAAATCAAATATTATTACACACTTTCTAGAACTTCATTCTAGTATTGCCCCTTACATACTGATAATAATGAAATATAACAATGAGATATGCATTGTCTTTCATAATTATAGGACTTTCTGGTATCTCTCAAACAAAATAATCTCACTGGCCAAAATTAACAATTTTCACTTACATGTATTAGCAGAATATAGATTGTGATTACATCAGCAAACAGGGTGCTTTAATTCAAGAGTTGCAAACTCAAAGGTCAACTGGGGTCAGAGAAGAGATTTCAAGGCATAGAGTCAGGGGTATGCTAAGGAGTGGTGAGAATTGTGGCAGCCTAGAGAGCACATGCACCATCGAAAGGCATTCAAATTAATATATTGAACAAGTATGTGAAACAAGCAAAATATGCCTTCTGGCTAAGCTACCTGTGTGGGACCTCTGATTTAATTAATTAGCCATTTCTGTGGGAGAGGAAAAAAAATCAAACTCGGCTGTTCAACTAAATTGGTAAATCGATTCACTTACAAGTTTCTCCAGCATCCTGATAAAGACCTAGCTGAGTCACTAGAAAGTGGGTAATTTTTTTTTTTTTGGCTTTAAAGATGATATTTGTGAAGAATAACTCCTTACCATCTTGTGGCTGCTTTTAACTCACCTTCAGGAAGCTAGCCAAACTATAATTGACATTTCTGGACTCATCAGGAATCTCTGCATAGCGAATAGTCACGTGGGGAATTATTGCAAGAAGCAAGGAATGTAAGACATGATGATATGCTTCAGGAAATCTCTGGCCTCTAGGAAGCTTAAATTAAACAGGCATAGAAAAAAATCAGAGTTGCAGGAGGTCTAAATCAATTGCCATTTTAATTTTCAAATACATTCTATATACAAGTGTATTTTTTCATTGGAGTATAACTTTTCTCCCAACTTAAAAATTACATATTTTAGATCATTATAGGAACTATCTGGACCTCTAATAATATAACTGGCTGAAATCATCAACGAGAGTAGATCATTCTGACCTAACTTTAGAATCATGTCCTTGAGATGCAGACACATCCCAGTTTTTCAATCCATTTTTTCCCAATACACAAAATATAGATAGATGCAACCATTCATCCCAATTTTGGTAAACCCATTCTATGAAATTTATGATAAAAATGATATATATGAGGTGAATATATATTTTTTTTATTTCACAAGTCTTGGCTTTACAATTTCTATAACTAAGAAAATTTCTTTGTACCTTAAAATAGTTTGAAAACACAACTAAGTGTATATAGCATATTCCATGAACACATCTATTGTATAAAGTGATTTGATTTTATTTTTGATTTGGTACCTATTTTCCTTCCAAATGGATGTTTTCAACATAGACATTTTTAAACCACAAGACAAAGGGAAAGCTTCAAAGACAATGCATTTTACATGGCAAATAACTAATATGAAAGAATCTAGGTAGAAGAGTCTCTGAAGATCAGACTTTAAAAAATATGAACTGTCAATGTCAGATCTCAGCTTTATGCAATACATCCATTTCTAAGGAAAACTGAAAAAGCTAAGGGCTAAGAGCCCTTAAATATAAAAGAGGCTTTGCATATCATGGCCATCTGTGAATACAATTAGCTGTCTTTGTGTTAAATATTACTCTTGAGCCTACTTACCTTAATTTTATTCTCTTCCAACAAGTATGTGGCCATAGACTTTGCAATAATTTCAAAGAAAAACCATGAGTACTGAAATAAACAGACAATATCAATCTTTAATAGTTACCCAAATCTCTGAAGGTTATTAGCAAAGTTTTACAAATCCATATGGATCTTATTTCTACCTTAATAACATTTTAAAGTTATCCCAATTCACTATCAAAGTCCCACAGAATAACTTTAAATGCTGTTGGCAGAAAAGTAATGTACCTCACAGTCGACTATGATATACGAAGAGCTTTTTGTTAGAATATTGACCTCAGTGAAAAGGGGTGTTTTATCACTGACATTGTTTTGAATTGCCTACATGTGGTGATAAGAGCAAACCAACTTTTATTATTGCTTTTAACTTCTCTACAGACAATATCATTACTGCCTGCACCCAGTGGAAGACCCAACCCAGCCCTTGGTACGACACTGGGGCCAGCTTGACTACCATACATGGTGGCCTACATACTGTATTTTGTATTTTAAAGGGTACAGAGAAGCCTCAAGCAGACATGTCCTAAGATACCTGAAATTGAAATCCTACCATTAATAATAGAAACTGTAAAAATAATGACAATAATAAGAGCCATCATTTGAGTGCATACTATGTGCCAGAAATGATGTGGTGGATACAGGATTCCAATCCAGATCTACCTGATCCAAAATTATTTCTATTACACATTCAACTGAGGGCAGGTAGGTGGGAAGGGTGAAAAGAACGAATAAGTTTCTGTGGAGAACTTGAGAAAAAAAGGATGCATGGGCAAAGTGACAAGGAAGAGGAGGGTCACGTGAGAAAACGATGAAAGACTAGAACCAAAATGGGATGGGATCAAACAGGTATATCTCTGGTTGCTTTTACTCCCTGTTGTATCCTGTTTCCTTACCTTTAGCAATTTGTTTATTGCTAAAAAGTCTGCAGACTGTTTCAATATTGCTATCATTGTAGTAGCCAGAGTTTCATGAATTAGCTGGGCTTGAGGAGCACTTGGTTTTTCAGGTCGGAAGCTATACTACAAACAAAGAAAAGAAACCGTAAGACAAAATTCTCACACAAAATCAACTACTCAGAGAGCAAGCTTACTCCACAAACCTTTATGAAGGATCTTAAATAATTATCCAAGCCTTCTTCATGGCACTTTGATACAATATGTAAGAGAACCCTGAAACAACATTCACAAAGTCAGCATATCAGGCTACAATTACCATAGTTTGATGATAGTTAGATAAGGCCACCATATCTAACCCTAATAATACCTATCCCTGCCAGAATAATTAGTGGTGAGATGACTACATAAGATGTAATGGTAGCTTGAGTCTAATAAAGATTTCAGCATCTAACAGGCTTAGGGCCTTGTAAAATATATTTCCTGGTTCAAAAGAAGGATATTTTATTTTGGCAACACAGATGACTCATCCCCTTTCTAAATCTCTGTATACATTTGAAGTATGGTCATAGTTACCATGTAGTAAAAGACCTCAAGTAAGATAAATATTGAAATCCCCTCTAGTGAGAATAATAGGAAAAGTATAGAAAAATAAAATGAAAAGCATGTCAACAGATGGGGGAAAAGGGAAGGAGAGACAGGACAGGTATAATGACACGAATTAAAATTAGAAGTAAATATAAAAGTCATAGAAAGTTTTAAAGTTAAGAGAGCAGCAGTGGTTCTGACACTTTAGTGTGAATCAGAATCACCTGGAGGGCAGACTGCTTAGCCCCTATCCCAGAGTTTCTGATTTTTTAGGTCTGGGGTTAAGTTCATCGGTTAGCATTTTTAAATAAGATCCCAGGTAATACTGATGCTGCTGCTTTGGGAACCACATTTTGAGAACCCATGGACTAGAGTAATGCTTCTTAAATTTTCAACCAGACTATCTCCAACAGCAGAGGAGAGCAAACAACATGCAGGTGTTTATAGCTTGAGTCCCGACGGGAGAGGCTGTGACAAAAGCAGCAAAGCCAGAAACATGCAGCATTGAGCTCACAATTTTTGAAGTCTCCTGTTTTAATTTCAAAATTTGGGTGCATTTTGTGTTCTACCCTATAACATATCCATATTTGTTACATATAAAAATAATACTCCCTTATTCTTTTGAGTAAAAATTGATGCGTTAGGGTCACTCTGTTTTATATGAGAGCCACTAGCCACAGGTGGTTATATAAATTTAAATGAAACACAATTAAGAATTCAGTTCCTCAGCTACATTAACCATATTTCAAGTGCTCAATAGCTAAATGTAGCTATCGGCTATCATACTGGACAACAAAAGTTTAATGCATTTTCCATGATTGGGCAAAGTTCTATTGGACAACACTGGTTAAGGGCAATGGTTCTCAAACTCTGTTGCACTATGGAATTTACTGGGAAACTTAAAAAAAGAATACTAATGCTGAATTCTACCCCCAGAGATTCTGGTTTAATTGGTATGGTAGGGATTAGTAGTAACTGAGCTAAAGCCAACTCTTTAACTGGTATAAAGTGTGGTCTGGCATAGAAATTTTTTAAAGTTCCCCAGGTGACTCTAACATGCAGCAAAGTGTTAGAATTCTGAACTCCTGGTCAAGGAAAACACATTAAATTTATCCTATGGCTTCTGGTACCATCTATCCCTGGGGATACAAGTCCCCCAGTCTAAGAAGTATGAAACTAGACAAAACTGGTATTAAATTTCAGACTTTTAGGTTCTCATTTGGAATATTAATTTATATTTAAAATGAAAAAATACAAAAGGAAACAAAACTTGCTTCTTTGTATTACAACACCGAAACTCACATGGTGCAGTTGATAGGAACGTCATCTTCATGGGTCATATTTGTGAGAACTCGGAAGAGTTGCATAAGAATCACAGGTAGAAACTGTATCATGACTTGGATCTCCATAGCATGCAAACACTAAAATAAGTCATTATTAGTTACGAAAACAAATGGAAATATGATATAACTTGCAAATGTGAAACAACAAAAAAATAAGTAATGAGAAACAGTCACTAGAATATAAGCTTACTTAAATGTGGCTGCATGGAATAGGGACTTTGTTAATTATTTTATCCCATCTCTGTATGCTGACACTCAGATTTTGTTAGTTTATTTAACATTAAATGCTTTACTGAAGATAACAATTATAACTGGGATAAACAGGATTTGGAATAAAGACAACCGATTCTTGGTAAACCAACACTCAAATGAGAGAGTGGAAGTGTTTGGAGGTACTAGAGACTGACCTACTAGCCCCCAGAATTCAGTGTATTTTAAAAGGGAATGTGGATCATCAGTTAATCTGGTGAGAAGTGGGAATCAATAAAGTATGTTTCCATATATAATTGGCTTTATACTGGCACCATTTACAAAACTGAGGCACTTCTGCATCTAATACCCTCATAATAAATCTCTTCAAAGTGCTAACACTGTCTCTAGTGATAGAGATGTGTTAACATCAAAGAGAAGAAATGTGTTCATCGTATACACATAGAAATGATACATGGAACAAAATTAGTACAATTTCTTCTTCCTTACCTTCTCTCCATATTCAGTCCCTCACTCGTTCATTCATTCACTCATTTAATCAACCAGCCAATCAAAAAAATGAAAGCAAACCTCATTGAGCACCTTCTGCATCAATTCAATATTTAGTGCTATGGGAAGTACACAGATGGATGAGACAAGCCTCTGTGCCTAAGGAACTCAATATTTATCCTCAGTCTCCCTGATTTTTGCTCCATCTTTCCATCCTTACTCTCACCATTCCTTTTCAAGACACTATTATCCAAATCTGAGTCATCTCAACAGTGACCTCTTGGATCTCTGTGCAGCTTCTCTTCCATCAGATGCATAAGGCAAGATACTGAGCTCAAGGAACCCATGGTCTATCCTTCAAGTTTTTCCTTCCCTTTGCTCCCTCTCTTCTATCTTTACTACCATCATTTCTTTTCATGACCCACTAACCTGTAACCAAAATAGTCTAATAATTTTCTAGTAGGTCTCTGTACAGTTTGTCTTCACTTCCAATACATCTAACTCTCATTTCCGAATTAATCTTCTTCAAATACTGTTAATCTTCAAATACCGGTTATATCAGATCATCTCCTACCAAGGATTTTTGATGCCTTCCTATCACCTAGGCCACTGGGTTTTAACCAGGGGCCACTTGGCCCCCTTCAGGACATCCAGCAATGTCTGGAGATATTTTGGGTTGTCACAACTGGGGGGTACTTCTGACATTTAGCGAGTAGAGGCTAAGGATTCTGCTAAACATCCTACAATGCACAGGACAGCCCTTAAAACAAAGATTTATCCTGCCCAAAATGTCAATAGTGCCAAGGTTGAGAAATTCAGACCTAGGATATTAAGTCCAAGTTATTTAAGACCCAACCTCCATTTTTAGCCTTGACACACATCATTCTTCACAAGACCAAACTGGTGTCCTGACTGCTCCTCCAATATATCATACGCATTCCTACTTTTGTGCATTTGTTCGCAGTTTTTAGCCAAATCTTAGCCACCCTTCTAAGTCAAGTTCAAATCCCCACTTCAATGAGGACAATCATTCACTCATTCAGCAAAGGTACACTGAATGAATTTCCAATTGCCAAGCACATCTAAAAATCATGGTTCCTTCCTACCATCAAGCCGTTCTCAGTCCATGGGGAGAAAAAGACACAGAACTAAATCACTGCAATACAAATGGCAAACTGCACAGTAGTGGTACATACAAAATGCATAAAAGAAGAAGCAATTGAGTCTGCAACTGGGCAGGGAACGTCCAATAAGATTTCAGAGAGAAAGAAGCTTAAAGGATAAGCAAGATAATGTCCAAGAGAAAAGGGGCACTGCATGCAAAGCAAATTAGATAATGTTATTTTCCCCTCGTGGAAAACAAAACAAACCACCACGAACAAAAAGCTGTCAAGGGCTTCCCATGCCTACAGGAACCCTGCTTCTCTCCCCAAACTCATCTTATGCCATCCTTTCTCCTCACTGCCCACTGTGCTCCAGCTACATTGTCTTTTCTTCGGTCCTTCAAACATGCCATCATGAGGAGTTTATACCTGCTGCAATATTCTGTTATCCTTTTACACAGCTTTATCACCTATGTTAGTCTTCCTCTCATGAGTCTCTTTTCAGCTTAATACGTCCGTCCTTTCTTGACAACTTTATCTGGAATGTACTCCTTCTCACGTGAGAGCCCATTAATCTGTTCCATTTCCTCTATAGTACTCATCTCTATCTAAAATTACTTACTCAGTTATAACCTCTCTACCCCAACTAGAGCAGGTATGTTGACAGAACCGTTCCCCATTATATTTCCAGCAGCCAGTACAATGTCTGGGTCATAGCAGGTGCTCAATATTTGGTGAACAATTGAATAAATTAAGAAAATCAGGAAACAAAGATGGGGGCTTCTAGTCTCGGTAATTCCTCAGTTCACTGAACCCTTTGCTCTTATATCCTGTATCTTGCATTTTACATTTAATCACTTATTGCTTTGGACTATCATTTGTACTGATGACTTATAGTGTCATTTAACTTAGGTCCATTCTGTCTCTCCAATTAGGGAGTAAGATCCCTATGGATATTGACCCTAAGTTATTCTCCACAAGCCCCACTCTATCTAGGAAAATATTAAATCCATAATAAGAGCTCAACAAGTAATTCTTAAATGAATTGATGAAACAATGTCATTTAGGACAACACATAGCAAGGTTTGGTAGAAAGAACATGGAACTAGGAATCAAGAGACATAAGTTACAGGCTCGGCTCAGCTCTGCTACTAACCAGCTGAATGACCACAGGCAAGTCATTTCTACTTGGGCTCCAGTTTTCTCATCTGTAAAAAAAAAATCTGTAGAATCCCCTTCAGCATTGATGTTCCATAGAGGTGGTCTGCTATTTCTGTAACCATATGGCATTTCACTCATCGCCACTAGAGGGAGAGCGTAGGTCACAAATGTCAAAAATTTCCATGTCCTTAAAAATACAAATATGAGTACTTCCTTTTTGTCTGTTTTAAGAATATTAGTATGTGAAAATGATGTCCTATTCCATTCCATTATATTAAAACTTTTCCAAAGCTTTCCCACTGGAGAAAAAGCCAAAGATCTTAACAGACTAAACATTCATACATAGAGCTGGAGTTCTAGACAGGTTTACCTGAGGAAAAAATTTGAAAGGTAGATGACTATTATACTTCTTAATGATAATTAAGAATAATAGCCACCATTTATCGACTACCTCCCTGCTTCTGCCCTTCTAACAGCATATTTCTATATGATACATAAAATAATACTTTAAAAACCAAAGTCACAAGATGTTACTTTTTGATTCAAAGCCCTGCAAGGCTTCCTATCTCATTCAGGATACAATTCAAACTCCTCATCATGGCTAATGAGGACTTACCCTACCAACCAGCTCCCCAGCTACTTTTCCAATGTGATGTCCTATCACTCTGTGTGCCAGCTGCACTGGAATTCCTGTTGTTCCTTGAACGCACAAAGCAAGCTCCTCACAGCCTTTATACTTGATGTTCCCAGCTCTCCCTCAGAAATCCACATAGCTGGCACCCTCATTTCCTTTAGTCTCTGTTAAAATGTCACTTTACCAGAGAGATCATCTCTGATACTTTCTAAAAGATGGACCTCTTTATCACCTCTTATTCCCCTTCACTATGTTTGTTTGTTTGTTTTTTATAGGACTTATATCATGTCAGGATATCTATACATCTGTCTATAAACACACACACACACGTATTTATTTGTTTATTGTCCATCTGCCTCCACAAACAAGAAAGCAAGCTCCCTGACAACAAGGACATTGTTTTATTTACATTCTCAATGCTTAGAATGATGCCTGTCCCATAGGAAGCACTTAAGAAGTGTGAAATGAACAATTACCATACAGAAGAAACCCTATTCAGCGGTCCCCAACCTTTTTGGCACCAGGGACCAGTGCTCCTATGAGAATCTAATGCCCGATGATGTGAGGTGGAGCTGAGGTGGTGATTCTAGTGCCGGGGAGCGGCTGCGAATGCAGATGAAGCTTTGCTTGCTCACCCACCACTCACCTCCTGCTGTATGGACCAAGGTCCTAACAGACCACAGACCAGTATTGGTCTGCAGCCCAGGGGTTGGGGACCCCTGCTCTATCTCACTTAGGCCTCACGCCATCCTACAAATTGGCATTATTGTTACCCTTATGTGACAGATGAAGAAACAAAGGTTTGGAGAAGTGAAGTAACTTGGACCAAGGTCAATCACCGAGCAAGTAAATGACAGATCTAGGATACAAACTCGGTCTGTGATTTTAGAACCCATACATTTCATCTCATGTCACACTCCTCTCTAAAAAACTGAACATTTTTGTTTTCTGAGAATATCATTAAGCAGTAACATAAGTCCAAAGGGAACTCCTGTAGAGGCTTCATTTAAAAATCAAAATTCCTCAGACTTGCCATGGCTGACCTACTAAAGGAGTAACCAAAAGAAGAGAATCACTGTCAGCTACATCTTATGACATGCACTTCAGTCTTAGCACGTTAGGGACTAAATGGAGTCTTGGGTTCTCAGTACTCTTGATAAAATATGGTATTTCTTAAGACCTCTCCTATGCAACAGACAGAAACTAAGTTTCTTTAGTTGACTCTTTTGATAGTCTTTCATGCATGGACACGGAACTATTTTATATTTTATTCTAAGCAAAAGTGATTCCATTTCTCCTGGCCCTTTTCCCCATTGCATTCTCCACTTTTCCAGAGTAGTCAGC